GCCTACTGTGATTGTTATTTTCACAAACTGTGCCCGAGTAAAAATGTTTCTACCTTAAAATGTACAATTTTTGTTGAGTTCATATGTTCCAAAATTACATTCCATCTTAACCGGGTTGCCCCGGCTCCGGAGTAAAATCTACTGCTGCAAACTACTACTATGTATAGTGCGTCTTACTGCTCCACGTAGTTGGTTGTGAATGCAAACAACGAATGGCTTGCGCGGTACTACTCATTAAAATTCAACGAATGTAAATGCGGGCTAAAGAAATGGCCCCAGCACGAGCGAAGAAGCCGTGTTCTTCCCCGTTGTAGTTAACCTACAAAAAAAGGTCACCATTTCAGAAAGTCTTCCGGGACTCTATCTTCCCACCGCTCACACCCCTTTTGGGGACCGGCAGACGAAGTCAGATGTCGAAATTAACCGTGTTTGTCTCCTTGACGACTGGGATCGCATTTTCAGAGAGCCACGTGATGACGTCACCCTGGAATGACTATAAAATGACGCAATCCTTTCCAATGGTTTGGACGGTGCTATCAATCATAAATTATGTGACCTTTCCCGGAGGATCCTTTTCGTTTGACCTTGCGACTCTTGCGTGCAATAATGCAAAGGATTAGGGTTGCCAACATTGAAACCTGAAGCGGACAGCGTACAGATTTGCGACCGAAGCTTTCCTTCACGGAAGACATTGGGCAAACAAGTTGACAAACAATCAAAATCCCAAAATCGGCCGGACTAGTTTCGACGAAAACTCCTGACCCTTTTCAAATTAACCCGGTCCGACAGCATAGTCGTTTGCATCCTTTTGCAAATCAAAAAAAAAAATTCAAATCTGAATTTTCCTTCGTAGAATCCAAACGTTCACCGCTGCCAACAGGTGCTGATGATCGACTTTGACTCAATTAATTACTACCTTCAAGCGTTCGGAAGTCACTTTTTAAGAAATTATTTTTTTACTGAACTGGAAAGAGATTTTGGCATCCCTATAAATGCCAACTCGACCTACCAACCTGGGATACCTTTCATCGGGCGCCAGCCATACCTATCTTGTTCAGTCGTCCATCTGTTTTCTTTTCACAGTAATAAGAACCTAGTTTTATTTCCTACGTCCATTCATTCATCTCAACCCAGGTGCTGTGCATTATTTATGACCATGGCAAGATCCTTTTCCGCTGCTCTCTGCCAACACAGTCGTTCTTTAGAATAAGCTCTTTTACCGGTTGTTCTAATGGTGGCGAAACTTTTCCTCTCTCCTCGGTAGCTGTGGTGGTTTATTTTTTGTTTTGTTTTTTGCTTTTCTATGACTTCCCGAATAGGAAGAAATAACTGACCAATAGCAAATTTTGATATTACCAACAGGAAATCTTAAAAAAAGGGTTTTTTTTTGCTATTGGGTTGATCGATTTTTAGCGTTTGTATGCCAACTGACGAATCGATTTTATTTTTCTCTCTCCAAATTCCATGAAACTTCGTATAGCTGTTCACTACACACTTATCTAGTCAGTACTTTTTACCGAGTTTTTGAATTGCGGTGATTCACTTCAATATGTATATTTTCTGAATCGGGATGACGCCTAGAGACCAAAAACCGATGTTGAAATCAAAAATGGCGGCTGCCAATTTCAGAAAAAGTGGGAAATACTACTAAATACCCATCAATATGGGTATTTCCGGAATCGGGATGACGTCTAGAGACCGAAATCGATGTTCAACGCCATTGTTTAATTCAAAATGGTGGCTCTCACATTCTGAAAAACTGTCATATACTCTACAATATGGGTATTTACGGAACGGGTTCGACGTGTACATCCCGAAAATATATGTCAGACACTATTTTTTAATCCAATATGGCGGCTCTCAGATTCAGAAAAAAACTATCAAATTTGGGTATTTTCAACACAAGTACTACGCGTACATCCCAAAAAATCGAGGTCTGACGCCAGTTTTGAATCCAAGATGGTGGCAAGTGGCTTCAGAAGAGCTGTCAAATACCCTATAATATGGACATTTTCGGAACTGGGTCGACCTGTACATCCCGAAAATTGATGTCTGACGCCATTTTGGAATTCAAGATGGCGGCCGTTGTTTTCTGAAAAGCTGTCAAATTCTACGATATGGATATTATCGGTACATAACGCGTGTAGATGCCGAAAATCGATGTCCGATACCATTTTTGAAATCCAAGATGGCGGCTCTCAGATTCGGGAATACCCTTCATTATGGGTATTTTCCGAACAAGTACTACCATTTATGTCCGACGTCATTTTGTTATGCAAGATGGCAGCCATTGACTTTAGAAAAACTGTCAAATACCCAATAATAAAGATTTTTTTAGACGACATGTAGATGCCGAATATCAATGTCCGGCACCATTTTGAAATCCAGGATGGCGGCTTCCGGTTTCAGCAAAAGATACAAATACAGTCAAATACCCTTCAATATGAGTATTTTTGGAAAAGGAATGACGTCTAGAGAATTGCATCTAGAAATAGAAAATGAGTGACCTGAAATCCAAAATGACAGGTACAGGATACAGGAAAAGTTGAAAATACTGTCAAATACCAATGATTGTGGGTATTTTGGGATTCGCGGTGATAACTACGGACTAGCAATTACTGTCCGATGCCATATTGAATTCCAAGATGGCAGCTTCTGGTTGCAGATAAACTGGATAGTAATGCTAAATACCTCCACAATATGGGTATATTTTGAATAGGGATGATTTGTAGCGACTCAAAATCGATGTCCAACGCAATTTGAAATCTAAGTTGGCAGTCCTGTTTAAAAAAAACTGTCAAATACCCTTCAATAGACGGAAAATTTATGGCTGACGCCATTTCTGCATTCCACTTTTTGGCATCTGCACGTCGTTTTTGAGCCGAAATTATCCATACTGTAAAGTATTTCAAGCTGAACTTTGCATTAGGTCCTATGTAACACTGACAGATTCTCTTCATCGACTTTCTCTTTGTATCCCCATGGCCATGTAAATACATTCCCAGGTATTTTCAGCACACAGATCGATAAAAGAAGCTTTTATATAGCATCTAATACGACAAACATAACAAAAACCGGTTTTGTGCTCAAGTTATTATCGAAAGAGAAAGTCGACGAAGAGAATCGATCAATGTTACTTAGGACCTAATGCAATGTTCAGCTTGATTTTACAGTTTTTCCCACTTTTTCTGAAATCAGCAGCCGCTATCTTTGATTTCAAGATGGCGCTGGGCATCGATTTTCGGTCTCTGAACGTCATCACGATTCCGAAAATATACATATTGAAGGATATTTGGCAGTATTTCCCACTTTTTTTGAAACCTGAAGCCGCCATCTTGGATTTTAAAATGGCGTCGGAAATTGATTTTCGGGTTTTAGAAGTCATCCCGATTCCGAAAATACCCAAATTGAAGGGTTTTTGGTAGTTTTTTTTTTCACCTTTTCTGAAATCGGAAGCCGCCATCTTTGATTTAAAGATGGCCGAAAAAAGATGTCCAGCGCCATCTTGAAATCAAAGATAGCGCTGGATATCGATTTTTGGTCTGTAGACGTCATTCTGATTAAGAAAATATACATATTGAAGTGTATTTGGCAGTATTTCCAACTTTTTCTTAAACCGGAAGCCGCCATCTTGGATTTTAAAATGGCGTCGGAAATCGATATTCGGGTTTTAGACGTCATCCCGATTCCAAAAATACACATATTGAAGGGTATTTGGTCGGGAGGGGGAAGACGGCTTTCATTTGAGTACCTCTTAAATTCTCTTTTGCTCAGAGTTGCTCAGAGCTACTCTGGTTTGCTCAGGGATCTGATCTAATTTGCGACGCAAACAGAATTAGTTTGGCATAGAGACATTGAAATCTGACCATGCAAATGTTAGTTCGGATGCTAGGAGGTTCATGGAATCCCTCCACTTCGCGTTTTCACTGGCACTGGCAATCCAGAAGTCATACAGGTGGGTACATTTAATGAAATGCTTGCCTCTCTGCAGCAGACATGTAGATTAATTTTGAACTTTGTCCATTAAGATGTGTGCCCGGGAAATTGCAAAGTGGTTAAACCAAATTGTGTGGAAAATGGATTCTGTCATTAGTGTCCTTAAATAATGAAAATGATCTTGTTTTCTACCAGTTGTTCCCTTGTCCCTCCCACTCAACCCTTGTGCCATTCATGACTACTGTCCGGCCTTAACTCTTCTATTATCAACTCTGCTGGCAATCATATCCTTAAGTTGAGGACCTCAACCATAACATAACGATGAAAATGTCAAATCCCCCTGCGACTACTTTGCTGTTGTTGGTGTGCAGATTAGTCCTGGACACGGGCATTGACCGTCCCGCCACAGGATGACGACGAATGGGCATATGCCACCTGGGAAGAAGGACCAAGCAATGGGTGCAACTTGCAATTAATTGGTAGGGTCGTGATTGGACTGCTGCTGGTGAGAACTTAGGATTTACAATAAGAAACTGTTCTGTTGCATTTGTCATTGAAGTTTTTGGCTATTTTCTTAAATCACTAGAGATGGCTTTCTGGAGGACACTTTTCGTTTTGCAATGGTAATGAAATTGTACAGGATCTTGCCACCTTAATACTACTGAGCATCCAGATGCTTAGAGTAAGCGAATAGATAGATATTCCCATCCAGCAACCAGCTCCGGTGAGGATAAGTCCTGCGAGTTCCAAACTCCGATAAATGTGATTGCTTGGGCTGCGCTGTCAAAACAATCGAGATAATACAACCGTTCATCAGAGAGCAAGAGAGTTCTTCAGAGTTACTCTGGATTGCTCTGAGTTTCTCACTGTCTTCCCCCTCGTTTGGTAGTATTTCCCACTTTTTCTGAAATCGGTAGCCGCCATCTTTGATTTCATGATTTCACTGGGCATCATTTTCGGTCTCTAGACGTCATCTTGATTCCGAAAATATACATATTGAAGGGTATTTGGCAGTATTTCCCACTTTTTTTCTGAAACCGGAAGCCGCCATCTTGGATTCCACAATGGCGTTGGACATCGATTTTCGGGTTTTAGACGTCATTCCGGTTCCGGAACCACCCATTTTGAAGGGTATTTGGTAGTATTTCCCACTTTTTCTGAAATCGTCAGCCGCCATCTTTGATTTCCAGATGGCGCTGGACATCGATTTTCGGTCTCTAGACGCCATCCCACAATTTACGTATTTGGCAGTATTTACCACTTTTTTCTAAAACCGGACACCGCCATCTTTGATTCCAAACATCGATTTTCGGCAGCTGCCAGTTGTGTCCGTTCCAAAAATACCCATCACTGCAAACACAAAGTTCAGCGCCAAGATTCAAGCTACTTCGAGTCAGAGGTGAAATCACGTCAAAACAACACAATTCCAGTTATTTCTATCTTGTTATGTCTCGCATTCAAAGCGACATCCGTTTATTAGAAAACGACCAGTGGCAGTTTTGTCGCGACAGAATGGAAGAGGAAGAATGACATGACAGACTTTTTTCGTCAATAACCATGTCGACAGTTTCCGTCATCTTGTCGTCCGAAGCAACTAAGTCGTTCTGGAAAACGTCACGCAACAGATGTTTCGTGACCAAATGAGAGAAAGAGAAGAATAGAAAATGTCTCGTCGAGAGACAGCCCAGTAGATCAGTCTTCACGGTAACCGCAAAATACCCAATAATGACTAGAAAGTAAGCATTTTCGAGGGAAACTAGGACTACCCATTAAATGAGTAAAACTTTACCCATTAATGAGTAATTACAACTACAAAAACAAGTTGTAAGTATTCGTTTTTGAGTAACAACTAGAAACACTGGAATAAGAGACCAGCGGAGAAAAAAAACATGAATTTGGCAACAAGATAAACATCAAAACAATCCTGGCATCACTTGCATTTGTAACTGCTTGCGGGTGACTTCGCCAATACACCGACGAGCGAGTTCATGAGTGATTGTTAAACGATTTTAATACTCCTCCCTAATTGAAGCAAACCATTTGTAAACATTTCAGATTGGAACCGCTTTTGACAGTTCGATTGGAATCATAACAGTTCAGAACAGAAGATTATATCATTATTGCTTTTCACTTCTGACATAGCGTTATTATTCGGTTCGTTGATCGCTTGTCATTTTTTCATTTGGAGATATTTTTGATTCCTTGAATATGTCATATAATAATCAACAAATCTTCAAATTGTTTGCATTAAATTACATTCAATTAACATAATATCCGTAATGAATCCAATGCAAACCAATAAGATCGAAGAGACGAAGAAATATTGCATCTGAAAATAGGCAATGTAACTGAATAAGAACGCTTGAAAATACTAGATAAAAAATCATTTGAAAAGCACTCTGTCGAGCTAGTAGAAAAAAGAATATTCACACGTCAAACTCCGTCAAGCATTTAAAAAGCGAAGAAACAAAAGAGACGACCAATTATCTGGGCCTCACCTGTTTACAACTCATTAGGCTCTCCGGCGTCGGCGCAGTTCGTCAAGAACCGTAATGCAGTAGAGCACGCAGTCCAGTATCCCGAAGCAGCAGCAGCCATCATCGATCGGCACTACATCGACGATTATTTCGATAGTGTCGACACAATCGAGGAGGCGGTAGTTCTAGCGAAGCAGGTGCGATATGTCCACGAACAAGCCGGATTCCAAATCCGCAACTGGGTGTCGAACTCGCCGGCAGTTCTCTCGGCTTTAGGAGAAGACACATCTTCTGGACCAGTAGTCTCCCACCAAGATAAGGAATCACCAGGTGAGCGCGTTCTTGGGGTTTTCTGGGATTTGGACCTAGATGTTTTCGCGTTTTCTGTAACGCAACGTGCGGAGGTTAAAGAGTATTTGTACGAAGGTAAGCGGATCGTCCTCAGCTGCGTGATGGGTCTTTTCGATCCCCTCGGACTGTTGTCACCATTCACGATTCACGGCAAGGTTATCATACAACATATCTGGCGGAATGGCTGCGAATGGGACCAGGTAATCGATGAGCAGAGTTGGTGCGTGTGGAAGCAGTGGACCAAGTTGCTGCCCGAAGTAGAAGCCTTACGAATTCCCCGATGCTACCTGGGAGACGCCGTTTCTTCATCAGTTGAATCACTCGAGTTGCATGTTTTCACCGACACGAGTGAGCACGCTTATGGCTGCGTGGCGTACCTACGGTCGGTCATCAATGGAACGGTGAGGTGTAGTCTAATCATGTCTCGAGCTAAGGTAGCACCTCTAAAGCGGCAGTCAATCCCTAGACTGGAATTGATGGCTGCGGTTCTTGGAGCCCGAATGAGCCAAACCATTATCGAAACGCATTCTCTCCGAATCGGTCGCACTGTTCTATGGACGGACTCTCGAACTATACTATCGTGGCTACAGTCAGATCAGCACAGATTCAAGCAATTCGTTGCATTCAGAGCGGGTGAAATTTTGGAATTAACCCGAATGCGAGACTGGAGATGGGTGCGCACGAAGCAGAATATCGCGGATGTGCTCACCAAGTGGGGTCGCGGTCCTCCATTGCAAAACGATTCGGAATGGATTTATGGTCCTTCAGTGCTATACCAATCGAGCGATCAATGGCCGTCTTCCGAACCGATCGAAGAAACCGTGGAGGAAACCAGACGAGTTATGCTGTTCCATGCGGTGGTCGAAGCGGAAACTGTTTCCAGTTGGACAAAACTTGTGCATGTGACGGCCACCGTACTGCGTTTCATTTCCAATTGCCAGCGAAAAAGGGCCGGGTTGCCAATCGTAACCTGCCAATCTACGAATCGTCAACGACTATTAATTAAGGCGGAATATTTGACAGACAAGAAACCACTTCAACAAGAGGAGCTTCAGAAAGCGGAAATTATTCTGTGGAGGCAGGCACAATACGAAAGCTTCCCAGATGAGATGAACACACTTACGAAGAATTTGGAAAGCAGCCCGGGTCAACGACTGGAAAAGATCGAGAAGACTAGCAGTCTCTACAAGCGATCGCCAGTGCTAGATGAAGAGGGAGTTCTGAGAGTTCGAGGCCGGCTTGAAAAGAACGAAGAGCTACCCTTCAACAAGAGGTATCCGATCATTCTGTCAGGGAAGCATGAAATCACCAAGAAGTTGATACTGCATTTTCACAACAAGTTCGGCCATGCAAACAGAGAGACCGTGTTCAATGAATTACGGCAGAAATTCTGGATACCGAAGGCACGCGCTGCAATCCGGCATGTAACGAAGGAATGTGTATGGTGCAAGGTGAATCGCTATGTACCGTCGGTTCCAATGATGGCACCGCTACCAGTTCAACGCACCACCCCTCACTTACGTTCATTTAGTGCAGTGGGCGTTGATTATCTTGGTCCGGTCGAAGTCACGGTGGGGCGCCGAAAGGAAAAGAGGTGGATCGTCGTATTTACTTGCATTGCTGTGAGAGCCGTACATCTAGACGTGGTACATAGTTCGAGCACGCAATCCTGCCTGATGGCAATCAGCAGATTCGCGTGCAAACGTGGCGTACCAGAACAAATCTTTTCGGACAACGCCACCTGCTTCCGTGTTCGCTACGATGATGAAGACGATGCAGGGAATAAATATCAAGTGTGCTGGAAAAGTCACTTCGGCTGTCACCGCGTGGCATTTCAATCCACCTAGTACTCCACACATGGGTGGAGTCTGGGAGAGGATGGTGCGATCTGTCAAAGAAGCCTTGCGAGCGTACGAAGACGGACGAAAGTTAACCGACGAGATCCTTTCAACGAGCTTGGCCGAAGCGGAGGATATGATAAATACTCGACCGTTGACGTACGTTCCTCAGGAAGCAGCCGACGAAGAAGCAGCCTACGTGGAAGAACGATGAGTGCGGACATGCTGCTGGAAGACTCTGTGGACTTCGCTGAAACCTTGCGGAACGTCGGCAAGCGGTCAGAATATTTGGCAAACAAGATGTGGGAGCGTTGGTTGAAAGAATACTTGCCATCGCTAAATCATCGCACAAAGTGGTTCGAGGACAAGAAGCCTCTGGAAATCGTATTCGTAATCGTGTTCGTAGTCAATGGAAAGAACAGGAAGAGTTGGGTACGAGGAAGAGTTCTGGAAGTTATCCAGGGAGCGGACGGAAAGATTCGTCAGGCTGACGTGAAGATGGCTGATGGCAAGGTGCATAGGCGTGCTGTGGCGAATCTAGCGGTGTTGGAAATTGAGTCAGGTAAATCCGGAAGTTCCGGCGGAGACACCGGATGTTACAGGCAGAGGATTGTTCACACCGCTGGGCAGTAGCTGTTGGTGTAATAGCTGAACCCCGAAAACTGACACTTCAGAATGAGAATAATGAATAAGAATGATAATAGAAGTGAACAAAAGCTAGAGAAAAACGCATATTGAGCTCGTGGATTAAATTTAGTTCTTGATCGGAAATAATATTAAAGTGTAAGAAATCGAAAGGTGATAGTTTTATTGAATTTATTTAAAATAGTTCATGTGCGTCACCTTTGATTGCACACTTAACCGATAGCCAGAACATTACCTTTTGACGTAGAACTACGTCTTTGTCGACTATACTGGGGTGCAAGTCAAAAAATATGTGTGGTGAAGGAGTGTTAGGTTTTGAACGCTTGTAACTTTGTCATTTATAGATGAAATTAAAATCCAAATACGCCAATCGATAGGATATTACATTACGAACCTGTTGAAATAAATATTTTTCCAATTTTTCTGTAATTAAACTTTTGAAAATGTACAAATGATAATTTTATCACTGTTTTCATGAAATAAGCCTTTTTCGCAAACCCAGTCATCATAAACGAATACCACTTGGTTGCACATCATTCTGCTTGAATCTGAAAAGATATAAATCAGCGCTGGTCTCATGCCACTGCTCATTAACGCTTCGGACGGCGTGGCGCTTGGTCCTGCAGTAAGCAGGACCAAATCAGCAGCTTAAGGTGGATCACGGCGTGACCACAATGAGGAAAAGCACACACGCCCTTCACAACAATCTCTCGGCCCCCCCCTCAACAACCTCTCCTACCCTCCCCCACCATCAAACCTCTCCTACCCCCCCCCCACCATGAAACCTCTCCTACCCCTCTCCCCACCATCAAACCCCTCCTACCCCCCCTCAAATACCTCTCCTAAACCCCCCCCCCCTCAAATACCTCTCCTAACCCCCCCCCCCTCAAATACCTCTCCTACCCCCCCCCCTCAAATACCTCTCCTAAACCCCCCCCCCCTCAAATACCTCTCCTACCCACCCCCCCTCAAATACCACTTCTAAAACCCCCCTCATCAATAACCCGAAAACGAGACAGACTTTAATGATCCCTTTTTTCCGGGAAATAAATTTTAAACATACCACAATCATTAGTAAAACCAAGTTTTACCAAATTTGAACAAAAAATTGCATTGAAGACATGTTTGATGACATTCAGTTGGTGAATTACACACAACTGACGGTAAAACATATCTGGTGCCTCTATATATGCAATTATATTAACATCCAAAGTCCATCCTATTTTACATATTCTGCACAAAAGAAACTTTCTGCTCCGCCCCATTCATAAAAAACTGCGGGAAATCCTATCAGGTTCTGAACCTGAAAAGATATAAAACAGCGCTGCTGTCATGCTTTTGCTCATTGTCGCTTCGGACGGCGTGGCGCTTGGTCCTGCAGTAAGCAGGACCAAATCAGCGACTTAAGGTGGATCACGGCGTGACCACAATAATGATGAAACCCCCTCCCCCTTTCACAACAACCTCTCCCCCTCCCCCTTCACAACAATCTCTCCCTCTCCCCCCTTCACAACAATCTCTTCCCCTCCCCCCTTCACAACAATCTCTCCCCTCCCTCAACGACCTCTCCTAACCCCCCACCACCACTCATCAACAACCTTTCCTAACCCCTCCCCCACTCATCAACAACCTTTCCTAACCAACCCCCTCCCCACCCCTCAACAACCTTTCCTAACCCCCCCCCCCCACCCCTCAAATACCGCTCCTAACAAAACAATATCTATGTGTCAGCCACATAGGGGAAATGACGCCTTCGGCTTGCAAGACTATTTTCGGCAACCCAAATTGAAACACTATTTTCACTGGATTTTCTTACGAAAACACTTCGCTGAATGCATGCAAACGATTCTTTATGCTTTCAGCTTCAATTTGACTATATTTTTACCACTGGGAAAAAGCAATCTAGCAAGGTTTTCTTGAAATGAAACACACACACTACAAATTGTAGCTGATTTCGAGTTGCCGATAATAGAACAGCAGATTTACATGCAGTTCAAATGGAACGGTTGCCGACAATACTCGCTCTCACTAGAGAAGATTGGAGCTTTTTAAAAGCGTTTCAAAACAGTTTTTGACAATTCTTTCGACTGAAATTGTTAGAGCAGCTGGCAGCAAAAGATTGTAAACAAACCAATACTGCATATGTGTGCGTTCCTCAGAGAAAAAGGCTATAGAAAGAAGGTCGCTGCTTAGGTTGCCGAGAATACGTAAATTCCCCTACTTAAAATATGTACATTTAAAAACCATGCGTGACCACTAGACTGATGCAAAATTTGAAATTTTCGCTCCACAGTGCTCAAATGGTTCCAAATTGGGCCCTGATAAGCCTCCCAAAATTTGAACTCATTTAGTGAGAAACTGACTTGGCACAAACCATTTGAAGTTTATATGGGAATTACTATGGAGAAACCATAATTTCAGTTTATATCTATCTCAAAATTCACCAGTTCACTCTACTTTAGAAAATGATAGCTGAACTTGTTGAAAACCACTTTTCGATCAAACGTAAGGAACAAAAATTATTAATGATTCAAGTCCCTGATGTCTTATGATTATGCTCAATCAACTGTTCAGCAGGCAACATTGGTGTTTATGGCGCGTAGAATAGAGGACAAAAATCATGGCTACTATGTCACACTGCAGAATACAGTGTTGCCCACAATACAGTTGCTTAATCTTGCCATAAGATTATCAATCTCTTAAAAAATTAATAACTATTTAATTTGACGTTTGGATGAAAAATGATCTTCTGCAAAGTTGTAGCTGATAAAAATTCCCATAAGAATAGCAATAGAATGTGTTAACAGTACAATGTGTAAAAAGGCAAGAAGACAATGAACAAAAAGTTTTGTTTTCCCATAGTAATTTCCATGTAAACTTCAAATGGTTTGTGCCAAGTCAGTTTCTTATAAAATGAGTTTTCTCTTTTGGAGGCTAATCAGGACCCGATTTGGCACCGTTTGAGCACTGTGGAGCGAAAATTTCAAATTTTGCATCAGTCTAGTGACCACACATACTATTCATTTGCGTGTAAATTTCATGTGTACTTCTGAGTGGATTCTGTTTATGTGTGGTCAAATGAAAATCATGTGGAATTTCACATGGATATTTGTAAAGAAAATGTGTAAATTGTTTTGAATCAACCATAACCGAAACATTGAAATACTTGAAAATTTTAAGATAAAGTATAATAGTCAAAAATGCATGAAAAACAACAATTTTGTGTGGTTCTACGTCATACTGCGGTCGTGTCTAGGACACAACCCTTTACTTTTTTGACCTGCCCAAAATTTGCTGCAAAATATAGAGATCATCCGAACAACTATTGACAATTTCGCCTCTTCGGTCACTTGTCTCCTATGGTAAAATCCAAAAAGCAAACATAAGTCTGTTCGTGAAACTTGGTGAATATTTTCTTACCCTTTCACTCCTATGAAAATCCCATATGATTCTGTCAATCTTTGCGTGAAGAAACGGTGGTTTGCTGGAAGGAATGAAGAGATAAGACAAAGTCCGCTATATTTCATGCACAGATTGTCAGATGCTTATGGGATTTTTCCAGGAGTAAAGAGTTGCAGAGTCGCCGTCAACGAAAATGCTTACTTTCGTAAGGGCCAAAGCTGCAAACGTAAACAATTACTTTTTGCGTGAATTTCTCGAAAATGGAAACTCACCCAAGAAAACCAACAGCATGATTGTGTAGAGAAAGAGTCCTCCTATCCGATAAAATTAGTGGCTTACATGAATTGACGTTGACATACGAGACATTTACGAAAGAAGCCATTATTTATGTTTTCGACATTGGCCCTTATGAACGCTCAGTGTCGTTATCACGAAAATTTTATTTTGACAGATCGATGTCCAACTATGCCAGTTATACCACTGAGGCAAAACAAAAAAGTGCGACATATGTTATGTGATCTGACGCAAGTATGCATTATGCCCTGGTGCATAACCCGGAGCAACTAACTTTACAATATGTTAATGGAAAAGCAGTGGAGATACGAATGTCGCTTGCCGAGGGCAACGTTCAATACTTGCTGCCACCAGAAGTACCAGATGACGATGATCTAACGTTGGTGCTAGCAACATTTGGAAAAGTGAAGCGTGTCATTCGGGAAAAATTTTCTGTTGCATTGGGTCTCGATATGTTCACAGGAGTGCGAGGTGTTTATATGGACGTGGAATGCATGAAGAAGTGATGAAAATGGACGTGGCGACCGAAAACGAAACCAAACCTTAAATGACCTGGTGTCAGCAACGGCAGAAGCATTGGAATGACTTATACGAAAAAACAGGAGATGAAAAATGAAGTACTCAATCCTCCTAAATGTACCTCAAAGAATAATGGTCCCTCGGCTCCGTTTAGCTGCTAGAGACAATGAGCCTTCAAATATTTTTTTTTTCTGCCCTAAAGGGTGATACGGTCAAAATTTGGTCAATATCAACTTGACGTATTTCTTTCAATTTTGCATTTAAAAAACCTGAACACCCCTCATTTTGAAGGTGTGTGTGTGTAGAATGTTGCTCCTATTTTGATTTTGGAATTCACTCTTCAGTTGTCAAAAT